CCTGGAGAAGAGTAGGCTCTGGGGGGACATCACAGCGGCCTTCCAGTACCTGAAGGGAGTCTGGAGGAAAGCTGGGGAGGGACTTTTTACAGCGGCATGTAGTGACAGCATGAGGGGTAATGAACTTGAACTGGAAGAGGGCAGATTTAGACTAGATATTAGGAAGACATTCTTTACTATGAGGGTGGTGAGGCACTGGAACAGGTTGCCCAGAGAAGTTGTGGATGCCCCATCCCTGGAGGTGTTCCAGGCCAGGTTGGATGAGGCTTTGAGCAACCTGGTCTAGTGGGAGATGTCCCTGCCGGTGGAAGGGGGTTTGGAGCTAGACAATCTCTGAGGTCCCTTCCAGCCGAAACCATTCTATGGTTCTGTGGAAGGTCATATATAAGAACTTAATAAAGCATTCCCAACCAAAATGCCCTCTCTCTGCGTAAGGTACTACAGACTGTGATGAGACCATGTAACCACTGTGTGCTCTTCAGGTAATGATAAAGAGCTTTGGGACATCAGGTGCTTTGCAAATGTGAGCTGTTCTTATGTAACACCTTGCCACAGATTACACTCCTCTAAACAATGCACCTTGTGGGGGGTGGCAAAATCCACTAGTTTGGGGATTAAGAAGAGACATCCTCACACAGAGGATAGCTCCATCTGGCTGCAAGCCAGATTTATGATGCATTATTGCCATGTGTTAGACAAGGAAAATAAAATATGTGGCTTACTAATGGCATGGTAGCTGTAAAAAGGTGCTGGACAAATATCTGTTATTTTCTGTGAATGACAGTCAGGTTCCTGCTTACCTGCCTGGAAAGGAGGGCAGTTCTTATCGTAGGTGTAGCTCATATAGGCAACTCCATTGAGGCAGTAGCCTGTGTTTACCTGTTAGGAACATGCCTTGAGACCAGACAAAGGATCCAAAACCTGAGATAAAAATTATGTCCTTTTTTCTCATCTAACAGTCTCATCTCAAGGATATTCAAGGTGCACTTGTTTCAATTCTGTCAGATAGTGATGGTAAGTACTATCACATCTTAATAGTTTTGTCTTTTGGTGGGCTTTTAACAGAATGGAGGGAATCTTCCAACAGGCAGAAAGTCACCTACACCCTCTCTGTCAGTCAGCATTAAAAGATAACTAGAAACATTCCATTTCTGACTTTTAACAGAATGGAGGGAATCTTCCAACAGGCAGAAAGTCACCTACACCCTCTCTGTCAGTCAGCATTAAAAGATAACTGTAGAAACATTCAATTTCTGACATAATAGGAATGATTTATTTCTAGGCATTGCACAGCTCTTTTCCGTGCTTTGCTAACCAAGCACAAATTTTTTCTGCAGTTGCTCCTTCAGACTGTAACAACAGAAACTGTTCAGTGTTGCTATTTCTGCTCTGTGTTGGACAGCAGGATGCATATCACAGAGTTCTGCACGGACTGGAACTCTACGGTGTCTCTAAGCTAGCAGATTTTGGCCTATAGCTCTACCCATGGCAGCTAGCAGAAAGGGTGTATCCAGCAGCCTATCCAAAGAGAGTATTACCATTAACTTAGCTGGTCTTCAGGGGCAGCAGCATGTCGGAATACTTACGACTCTTGGAACTCTCCCTACTGTTTCAAAACCTGCAGAGACAATGTTAACATGAAGATGTCACCTGATTTGGTGGGGGGGGGGGTATGCCTTCAGAACAAATTGCTGTTTCAGAATCCAAAGCTTGTGTCTTGCCAGACTACACCTGCTCTAAAATGGAGAGCTACGAACTGCAGCACAGAGTTCCATTTGCTAGATCATGATTTTGATTGAATCTTGTTTTTTAAATTTATGTATTACGTGATTACATGCTTATCTTTACTTTTGTTAAATCTCTTGCAGAGCTTAGTCAAGATGTTGCTTCAAAAGGTCTTGGGCTTGTATATGAACTAGGAAGTGAACAAGATCAGCAAGAGCTAGTCACCACACTTGTTGATACCCTTATGACTGGGAAAAGGTACAGTAGGCTCAGAACATAGTGAGGGAGTACGCTAAGCTATATGTCTGATGGGAATAAAAATGTACCTCTCTTGTGTGTGGAAAGAGATGTGTTGCATATATTTCCAATGGGTCAAACTGGGACGTTTCTTAATTCAGGTTGGAGTTTGTTGTAACTGAAATTGTTCTGGTTTGAAACAAAGTTTCAAAATAATTATTCAGTGCTGATTCAAGCAGTTCAAATCAGTTGGGGTTTGGTTAGATTTCTTACTTGCTATGCTGTGTAATTGCAGAGGACAATAACCTCTTGCAGCAACTCAGAACAGTGTCAGTGTTGCAGAAGTGGGGACTTGCTTGTGCCTGAAATGTACCTTTTTCTGAGAAAGTGTTAATGGTCACTTGTCAGCTTTAGTGCAAAAAATAGTGATCTTAAAGGACTCCTGGCTAATAATAATTTCAATCAGTGCTGGAAATGCTCTTTAGCAGCCTACTCCTGCCTAACGGGCTATCGGTGTGGCCACTGTGAATGACAAAAACCTAGGCTGGGAGTTGTGGGCATCCAGCGTTGGTAAACAGGAAGATATTAGATGACTGGAAATTGCATTTTTTTCATTTTGAGGTGGAGATTTGCTGTCCATTGTGTCTTGTGGCTTGTGTCTGGACAGAAATAAAAAACCGTAATTCAGTGTTTTGACCTTTTACCTTCTGACTGCACAGAAAAACCCTCACTTTCTGCAGCGTCTGCATAATGTTGGACATGACACAGGTTAATGAGGTTCTTTGCTGTGTGTGTGGCTTTGCACACCTGTATGTTTTTTGTGTGATTGGAACTGAAAGAATGGGAAAGTGCTGAGTTAATAAAGCAAAACAAATTAACTTGTTCCAGAGCGTACAGTCCATTCAAGGCTAGAGTTTGGTAAAGCTAATACTGGACCTCTTTTCTACCAGAGCCAAACATGAGATGACTGGAGAAACTGTGGTGTTTCAGGGTGGCCTGAGCAAAACCCCAGATGGGTAAGTTTAGTTACGGGCTCAATGACAGACACACAATCAGTGCTGAAACAGTATTCCCTTGCTTACAAATCTGCTGCCTGAGCTTTTTGTTCCTTCTTGTTCTCTAAGTTACCATATGTATTTTCTTGTAGTACAGATAGGGTATTCGCTTCTCTCTGTCAGCTTTAGGCTGTGATTTGGCTATAGCTGTAGCTATTATGGCATTTGTGTAGCTGAAAATAGTGACACTGATTTCCCTTCTGCTTTCCAAAGTCAAGGTCTGTCTACCTACAAGGAGCTTTGTTCACTTGCTAGTGATCTAAATCAACCAGACCTGGTGTACAAATTCATGAATCTGGCCAACCATCATGCCATGTGGAATTCTCGGAAGGTAATTTGCTGATTTCATACTGCTTCCGTTCCCACTGCGAACACTGGGAACAAAAACTGCGTATCTCTAGCTCTGGTCATATAATCTATAGGTAACTGCATGTGGGGGCCATTTGTTGATGCTTTGGTGTCAAGTCCAATGAAAATTTACCAGGCTGTGAAGCAAATTCAGGATTATGTGAAATTCTTAAAGCAAAACATTGGTATAATACAGTTCATATCATCCTCCATTCCTTTCTCAATCAACTGTGATCCTTTTCTTTTACTTTTGAGTGTGCTTAGGGGCCAGGTCTTGATGTGGTCAAACAGTGAAATAATATTTTCAAAAGTGGATGAATTTTCAGATGCCAGAGAAAGTGACCTTGGTTATGTAAAAAGGCAGAGCAAAAAGTATTCAGCAACAGGTTGCTAAAAAGCCATTGGACAGTGCACCAGTTCAATCACTGTTGTCAAAAGTATCCTTTTTTTTAACTCCAGTCTTGATATTTTAAAGCTACTGGAACCGTTAGCAAAGAGAAAATTCTATTGGATCAACTTGCTGCAAAAAAAATGTAGCATCATAAACTTTAAGATTTAAGTATACATTTCAGAGCTTTAACTTGGGGATTTTTTCAGTGGCTTTACAGAATCTTGGAAGAACTTGTTTTGTCCCTGCGAGTGGGCAGAGCACATTTCATGTGCTTTCATGCAGAAGACCCAGGTGGCTTCACCTTCCGTATTGCACCTTTTGTGCTCTTTCCTGCTCACTATCTAAGGTTTTGAGTTTCTGACCACACCACTTAGTGCAAAAAACAAGCCCCGGCATTAACTTTCATCCAGAGTTTGACAAGTCAGCATGTCCCTCAAGACTTCCCTCTCTTTGTACTGAGACTTCAGAAGCGCAGGAGCGTAGTTATGTTCCTGACCCTTGTGGAACTTCATCAGCCAGGATGAATTAAGAAAATCCACTCAGCAACTGTAGGCTGAGCTTTGGCATTTGAGGAAGTTGCAGAATCATTTAAGTTGAAGGGGATATCTGGAAGTCTGTGCTCTAAACCTCCACACAAGAGCTAGGCAGAGCAAAGCCCCTGTTTAGGGCCTTGCAGATGATGCCTCCCTTTTCCTTATACTTTCTGCAGCCTCTTGATCCTAACAACACTGGTCCTGAGAGTTTGTATTTATTATTCTTCCCTTTCTAAACTAACCCAGGCAGCAGATAATGTCCTTCAAAATCCCTAGGAGGGGTTTTGAGTAGCAGCTTTTGACACTGTGAATCAGGAGACATGAATAGAAGCAGTCACTGCACTGCCTGTATTGAGCAATTTTTTTGGGGCTGTCCTGCCAAACCCCATAGGACTTAATGGGTGAGCAGCAGTTCCACTGTGTTAGAATTGACAGTGGAATTGAGAGTGTTGGAGAAAGAATAGAACATGAAAGAATACTTGAGTTTAAAGTAAATATGGACAGATGCAAAGTTATGATCCCCAGAAATTTCAGGTTGTAGAGCTAAGGTAGACTTGTTGTATTTTTAGTTTTTCAATTCCTATGTTATTCTGTGCAGCAGAGTTGTAGGGAGGCAGTGGCCCACCCTCACCGGTTTTTCTGAGAAAGAATCTGTTGGAAGAACATACTCAAATCTTCACAGTTTTAATTCTCCATCACCACTTTCCCAAATGGGATCAATTGGTATCTTGAAATGAAGGTTGGAGAGAAGGAAGTTTTGGAGTAGTATGTTGTCTGCTGGTGATTGTATGCTTGAGATCATTGTGGTACTGTAGCACTGATGGGGCAGCTAATTCTGGTACCATTCTAGTCCTTTTGATTTGGTCTGTCTCTAAACTGTGTCAGTCCACTTTGCCACTGACTGTGGTGTTTCCAGGAACACTGAGTGAATGAGCAGATTGTTTCAACAAATATTCTTTTGTCATAATTTCAGGGAGCAGCTTTTGGTTTCAACGTGATAGCTGCCAAGGCTGGAGAGCAGCTGGCTCTATTTTTGCCTCAGCTTCTTCCCCGGCTCTACCGTTACCAGTTTGACCCCAACCTGGGCATTCGACAGGCAATGACCAGCATTTGGAATGCCTTGGTCACTGACAAGTCAATGGTGAGTGAGCAGCAAAGTGAATAGTGGTGGGTTTGCTGCTAGCCAGCAGTATCTCAGAGATCCTCATGGGACAGTTGCATCTTGTGAAAGGAGGGGCTGTGCAGAAAGGGGTGAGGTCCTACAGAGAAAGTGGTGCTTGAACGCGTGGATGAGCTGGAGGATGCACAGAGGTTTTGCACTGCCTCTTATATGTGAAAGAATATCGCAAACCTTGTTCATGCATCCAGCATTAAACTCTATTACTTACTTAAAGTGGGGTCTTTCCACACTTTGATATTGCTTTGATAATGCTTGTGAGAAGCTCTTCAGGAATCCTTATAGCCTAAGATGCCTTTCCTAGAGCAAGAACATTTAAATATGGTTCCTTAGTTTTTAAGTGGGAGGAGGCCCATGGGAAGAAGCTGTTCCATCAGTTTGGGGGTAATTGCTCCCAGACAAGTTTCAGGAATATGTGATTTTCATGAGATGCCCTTGCTCTGTCTCTGAAAGGTCTGGAACTGGGTTTGCAAATCTTTTCTCCTAGCAAAGCTGATCTTAGTGTGAAGTCATTCACTCTGATCCCTCATCAAAGCACAAGTGCTTCTCCTGTCAATACATGTTTGATGCTGCTTCTAAATAGCTCAGTTGATAAAAGACTTGAGGGACTTTCCTCTTTTCTTGTCATGTCTGTCACAGCATTAAACTTTGAAGCAGTGCAGAGAAGGGCATGTCTAAAGCAAAGTTGGAGTAAGTTTGCGCAGGGTCAGCTCTAGTAAGCATTAGTTCATCTGCTGTGGCTGAAAGCAGGTTGTATTGTCCAAAAGGCCTTTTTTTTTTTTTCAGAGTACAGGACAAGGATACATGGCCCATGCTTGTTTCATGATTTTTCCTTTTTTTCATAATAGGTTGATAAGTACATGAAGGAAATTCTTGAGGATTTGATCAGTAACCTAACCAGCAGTCTGTGGAGGATCAGAGAATCCAGGTATTGCTAGGAAAAGTAAAAGATTTTTCTTTGAACTTTCTTCTTTCATCTTCTTCACCATGAACTTGTTAACCTGAAGAAGTTGAGGGGGGGAAGAGGATATGTCCTTTCATCAGGATAGAGCCCAGTCTTGTAGTCTACACTTGGAGTGTAATACACAATCTTGAAGCTATTTGCATCATTGAGCCTGAAGTTTTTTATTGCATGTAGCTTGAGCGTGATACTAAAGAACATTGTCTGAAGGAGGATTTTTCTGATCACAAAGTTCTTGCCTATCCTTGGACCTGAAATATTGCTTAATGTTAGAAGATCTTGGCAGTCTGGCTATATACGTACTTGGCAGCAGAATGCCAGTCAGTATAGCATTTTTAATAAGCTGCTTTTTGTTTATAATGGTTTGTAGTTACGCTGTATTGAAAACTTCAATTTTAATTTCAATTCCAGACTTTAGACCATGTTATTTTGTTCTTATCCTACATTTAGAGAAAATAAATCTGAAACAATTCTGTAAGTGGAATGTTTACAATAATAATTTTCACCACAGCAGCCATTCTCACTTCCTGTCACCTGTTTCAGATTTCACCTGACTGGTTGAACATTTTTTTCTCTGCTAAAGGAGACGTTCTTATGACAGAGTAGATTTAGGGTTTGGGGAAAATAAGGAATGTGAAACAGTTCTCAGTTTTTGTAACCATTTACTTATAAACGTATCTGTATATACACCTATTTCAAATAAGTACACCATGTGATGGAAATAAAATTCCTTCTTTGCAGCTGTCTGGCGCTGAATGACTTACTAAGAGGAAGACCTTTGGATGACATTATAGACAAGCTTCCAGAGATCTGGGAAATCCTATTCAGAGTGCAAGATGACATTAAGGTAATGGAACTGATAAATGAGCAGGAATCTTCAACAGAAAGTACAGTGATCAAGCTCTAAGATGTTTAAAGAGACATCCTGTGAGAATTCAAATTGAAGCCGTTGGGAGTTTTGGGTATTAAGCAGACTGGAAGTTCAGGCCCCTTGCAGTTAAAATTTCCATGCCACTTTGGAAAGTCTTTGTGTATGTTTCTCATGTTTTTGAGTGTTGGTTTTAATTCCTACTGTGCTTATTCTTGATGGTTCATAATTTTTCCTGGGTATAAAAGAATTCCTACCTACTTGCTTAACTCTTGAGTATAGAAACACTTATTTTGGGCTGCTTGTGTGCTTAAATGACTTGCACGTATAAAGTCAGAGTCCTTGGGTCCTTCCAGGCTTGAGCTGTATTCTCTCTGGATCCAGACTCCTCTGCTCAAGCTTAAGCAAGGCTGAGATGATTTCCAAAGTGTGCTGTGTACCAGGAAGTTCCTTCCATACTAGTAAATTTAGTATGTTCAGAAATGTTCCTAGGCACTGAAACCAACTGAGCAGTTTTGCCTCAGTGCTAATGAGCTGTATTAGCCTCTAAAATAGGGCAGCTGCCTGCAAACTGCCTTTTGGGAAGGGTCTAATTTCTTCCTGTATTTTACCTGGAAATGGTTTGGGAAGGTCTACTTGTGGTAGGCCAGATTTTTTCCAACAGTGTCCTAATACTTTACCAGTCCATGCGATTGTGTTTCATCACCCAGGAATATTGCTAGATACTGCTTAATTCATCAATACAAGAAAAGTTAAAGAGTGTAGTTGGTGGTGGTGACACATGCCACCAGAGCTGCTCTAATTTTACTTTTTGCTTTTGGTCCATCTTTCTCTAGTCCTGGACACTCAGTTAAGCATCACTAAGCAACAGACATTATGTTGAGGAGGGAGTAAATTATGATAAATGAACTATATACTTCTTTTTGCAGTAGAAGATTCCACTGGGTTTTTGGGGTTTGGTTTTGGGGTTTATTGTTTGTTTGTTTTGAAAAAGACAAGCAGTAAAATAATATTACAGAGACTAATGTAAACAGAAGCACAGAGTACCTGGTGGTGTCAGGCAGGATTGTTAATTTACTTGTCATTGAGCAGAATCAGATACTCAGATGGACAAAGCCAAAATTTCTCTGAAAGATATTGTATTAAGTATTAGCCATGAATATAGCCTTGTATATAGCCTACATACTTATCAATTAATATGAATCATTCTACAGAAGGTTTAAAAATAATAACAATGGATTGTTGACTTCTTTTCTAGGAAACTGTGCGAAAGGCAGCAGAACTAGCCCTGAAAACTTTAAGCAAGGTAAAACTCTGTTCATCATTTGCACGTGGAGATGTGTATGATTTTGATGTCAGGTGATCATTCACTATCATATCAGCAGGAGTGACCTGTTTACCCCAGACTCTTGTCTCGAAAAGATCTCTTGTATGAAGTACAGTTATAATGAACAGCCCCCTAGGAACCAGTCATAATAAGCTCGACCACATGCTCTTCTGTACTTTTGTTGATGCTTCTTGAGGATAATATGATGTTAAGTTATATGCAACCAAAGGAGGGCTGTGATGAACTGGATTTTTTTGTCCCTCTAATGTCCTATTTTTCCCCACTTGGGAGTGGGATTTAAAGAACTTCCTGTAACTTTGGCAGTTGACCAAGCCCAACTGATCTAGTTGACCAGGCCCAGTGGAACCTCACTGGTGTGAAACAAAGTGATGTAGTCTGGACTTCACTCGCTAGTGCTGTTCCTGACCCAAGATCTTTTGGGTGTGGTACACATATCAATATTTTTTCGGTATTCCTCTATAATAAAGTCATATTGATGAAAATAGAAATGGATCTTAAGAGCTGTGTTTGAAATCACAACCTTCACAATGCATGCAGCATGACATTTCAATCGCACACGTAGTGATCTGATGCCAAAATGTTGTTACAATTGCAGAATCTGTTCTGATGTGGAACTTGCTGCTCTGCCTTGTGGAATGATTGAATCCCTGTGGCTGAGATAGGCTGTCCTCACCTAAGAGGTCATTTGGTCCATCTCTTCATGCAGATGTAGACCAAGGCCTGCTAGGTTCCAAATTGCCTTTTCTGGAAGCTGACCATGGCTGAAACTCCTTTTAGCGATGTGGCTTAGGGCTTAAGTACCTCCTGGAGAGGGGATGAAGGTATAACAGAGCCTGGGTCTAGCTGTGAGCAGTTGCTCTAGTTGCTATTGGCTTCTTTTGTCTGACAGAGAAGGTGCTTTAATGTAATCTTAGCAGGACGCTTGTATGCGCTTGCAACACTGATTTTTCACTCGTCCCCAGGTTTGTGTGAAAATGTGTGATCCCTCTAAAGGAGCAGCTGGTCAGAAGATGATAGCTGTACTGCTCCCTTGCCTCCTAGACAAAGGAATAGTAAGCACAGTTGCTGAAGTCCGATCTCTCAGGTTAGTTTTGCACCATGTAAGTTCCCTGGAGGTCTGGTCACGATTTGTCCCAAAGAGACCCAGCTTATTCACCTGAAGTGCAGAATGTTGTGTTTGAAGTGATAAGTTTCTCCCCAGAACAGCTTTCCTGCTAAGTCCCTTTCTCACCGAGCTCAAACAGCAGTCCAAGGAACTCTGCCTATCTCTTGGGAATTTCTGGCCCCTCCGCAAGTTCCCAGCAGGAGGTTCGTTTCTCTCTCTACAACTGGCAAGCTGAGCTGCAAGCAATTTACTGTGCTTGAAGCTGTCCTTCAGGATTGGCCTCTCTTCTGCTTGTATACAAAAAAATCCCACAGTAGTTCTTGAAACAGCCAGGTCTTATTTCACGACTTGTTGTGAGTAATGACATTTCACATCCCAGAAGTGTCTGCTGCATTTGGTCACACTGTTCAAATACATTTTATGTCGTGTAACGGTTTGATAACCCTTGATAGGTATGGACTTCATCTACTTGTCACTTTGTAACCTTGTGTATTCCTTCACTTGCTTTAAGGACAGAAAAGCTGTAAAATTCAGACCTGGAGTGTAGCTGGTCTTTGCAAAAATTATTTTCTTTTATTGAACATGATTATCCAGGAAGATTAGAAAGCTCCTAACAAATTAGAGTGAATATTACTTGAATTTTTTCATCCCTTTTGAAGATGTGAAAACCCTTTGTCAAAATGCAGCTTGAGACATATGGTCAGTCTGAAACTGACAAGTGGGATTTGAACAGGTCATTGTAATTTGGTTGTTTTTGGGGCAGAGACAGTGGATATCTCTGGGGTGACTTTGCCCAGAGCTTCTTTAAAACATGAAGATGTGTTATTTCTTCCTACATCTGTCGGTAGCACTGTCTCTTTGCCCATTGCAATTTCTCTGCAAAGCATAGCATCAGTTGGAAGCTCAGGGCTTAAGCAGAAAAATACACAGATTTTTATTTGCAGGTAGATTTATATTGGTGTATCTGAGATTTGGATAGGCCTTTTTGTTGGTACTGGTTAGAGTAGACCAGACAGGTTTTTCAGCTAAGTCTGTATTTCTCTGTTGACCTTCCTTTTGATCTTTTTCCAGCATTAATACTCTTGTGAAGATCAGTAAAAGTGCTGGATCTATGCTGAAACCTCATGCACCAAAACTTATCCCAGCCCTGCTGGAATCCTTGAGTGTGCTGGAGCCTCAAGTCCTCAATTATTTGAGTCTTTGTGCAACAGATCAGGAGAAAGTAAGTGCAATTATAATGGAAAGGTATCAACAGAACAGAGACAAAGATTTAAGCTTTGTTCAGTAAGCAGAAAAAATAGCAGATTTGGTTGAGAGGTGTTCAAAGGTGCAAAGAGAAATAGCTAATAAGTTACTAAAAAGATTTTGGTCATTAGAATATGGCTGGGTAAATTTGGGGTTTTTTTTTGAAGGTTTGGGATTTTTTTTGTTCACTAGACTGCCACATTTCAGAGCGTGAAGAACAATCTTAATAAGAACTGTTGTTAAATGTCACTTCAGCTCCATGTGCAACTACAAAACAGGTGAAGAGAGAGTCTGTAGTAATTATCTGGAATGCACCAGTACTGTCAAACTTTGCTGCTGTTTTTCCCAGGGGATTAACTGTAGGACTTCTTATAAATTAACAGGTGTGCCATAACACTATGGGCTGAAGGTGAATGTTGTCAGCACTGTATGTCCTTTAATCTCTCTACAAGAACCATATTGATCAGTGGCAGTCTTCTGGGAAAGGGCCTGGAACACACTGTTCGGAAGCAAATTTAGCTAATTTCATGTTGGGGAGGGGAAGGGGTCAAACTCTGCCCTTTCCAAACAAGAAAGGAGTGAACAATAGATCAGAGTGGGATTTTTTCTCTTTTCCTGCCTTGCCTGCTTTTCCTGCCTTGCCTGCCTTTCCTTCTCTTTTTCCTTCCTTCCTTCTCTTTTTCCTTCCTTCCTTCTCTTTTTCCTTCTCTTCCCTTTTTTTTGGTGTTGTTTGTTTATTTGTTCCCATGATGTCCGGAGCACATGGTGTAGCCCCTGTACTGCAGCTAGAACGTCTATGTGGCTCTGAAAGGGAGACATTCATAGTCTGTAGACATAATTGCTTTCCATCTGTATGCATCTGAAATGGATCTTAGTTTGAGTTCATGAGGTAGTGAGCTATAGCTGATGTTGCCCTTTCCACTGTTTTTATGTTGAGTTTACTTACACTTGGTTGTGGTTTTTTCCTCTTTTTTTCAGACTGCAATGGATAGTGCCAGACTTAGTGCTGTCAAGTCATCTCCCATGATGGAAACCATTAACATGGTAAGTACTTGATTCAGAAGGGTTCCAGTGTAAGGTATGTTGAAGGAGAAGAATAGGAGTTAAAGTGTGAGCTTTATAGAATACCTTTTCAGTGCTCATTTTATTATCGCATCTCCACATGGATGTCTGTCCACCTTCTTTTTCATGTACTGACTTCTCTCCTCCTATTTCCACAGCTTGCTCCTCATATCAGTTGTAAATAACCTTGGCTCTGTTTGGAGTCAGAGGGATTGTTTCTGCCCCTGAAGACTTGCCTAGTTTGATGAAGAGAAGCATTTTTCAAGTGCTTTTCTTTGGATGGGTGCTGGTTCTGGATTATGCTAAACTACCATTTCTCTTCATAGAATCGTAGAATTGTTGGGGTTGGAAGGGACCTTAGAGGTCATCTAGTTCCAACCCCCCTGCTGTGGGCAGAGACACCTCCCACTAGACCAGGTTGCTCAAAGCCTCATCCATCCTGGCCTGGAACACCTCCAGGGATGGGGCATCCACAACTTCTCTGGGCAACCTGTTCCAGTGCCTCACCACCCTCATAGTAAAGAATGTCTTCCTAATATCTAGTCTAAATCTGCCCTCTTCCAGTTCAAGTTCATTACCCCTCATGCTGTCACTACATGCCGCTGTAAAAAGTCCCTCCCCAACTTTCCTCCAGACTCCCTTCAGGTACTGGAAGGCTTATGTGGTGTCCCCCCAGAGCCTACTCTTCTCCAGGCTGAACAACCCCAACTCTCTCAGCCTGTCCTCATAGGAGAGGTGCTCCAGCCGTGTGATCATCTTTGTGGCTCTCCTCTGGACCCGTTCCCACAGCTCGACGTCCTTCTTGTGTTGGGGGCCCAGACCTGGACGCAGTACTCCAGGTGGGGCCTCATGAGAGCAGAGTAGAGGGGCAGAATCACCTCCCTCGACCTGCTGGCCATGCTGTTCTTGATGAAGCCCAGGATCTGGTTGGCCTTTTGGGCCGTGAGTGCATACTGCCATTCCACGTTCAGTTTTTCATCTACTGACACCCCCAAGTCATTCTTCTTAGGGCTGCACTCAAGACATTCTCTGCCCAGCCTGTCTTTATGCTTGGGATTGCCTCGACCCATGTGCAGGACCTTGGATTTGGCTTTGTTGAACTTCATGAGGTTGGCATCGGCCCACCTCTCAAGCCTGTCCAGGTCCCTCTGGATGATATCCCCTCCCTCTAGCACGTTGATTGCACGACATAGCTTGGTGTTGTCTGCAAACTTGCTGAGGGTGCACTCGATCCCACTGTCTATGTCGCCAGCAAAGACATTAAATAGCACTGGTCCCAGTACCAGTCCCTGAGGAGTGTCACTCGTCGTTGGTCTCCATTCGGACATTGAGCTGTTGACCGCAACTCTCTGCAGCCATCCAACCAATTCCTTATCCAGTGGGTGGTCCATCCATCAAATCCATATTTTTCCAATTTCGCCACCAGAATGTCATGCGGGACAGTGTCAAACACTTTGCAGTAGTCCAGGTCGATGACATCAGTTGCTCTTCCTTTGTCCACTGATGCCATCACTCCATCATAAAAGGCCACCAGGTTGGTTAGGCATGATTTGCCCTTGGTGAAGCCATGGTGCTTGCCAGTCACCCCTCCTTCATTTTCCATGTGCCTTAGTAGAGCCTTCAGGAGGATCTGCTCCATGATCTTGCCAGGCACAGAGGTGAGACTGGTTGACCTGTACTTCCCTGGATCATCTTTTTTACCCTTCCTGAAAATGGAGGTTATGTTTCCCATTTTCCAGTCAGTGGGAACATCACCAGACTGCCATGACCATTTCTTCAGCTCTGGCGCACAATCAACTTCTCACCTGGACCTTCAACTGATGATAGTCCATGCTCTTAAGGCACAAGTGCTGTCCAATCCTTGCCTCATGGTGCCTTAGGTATCCCTACCTGGGCCTTGCCAGTGCTTTGTTGGTGGAGATATTTAGTGAAAATGCTGATATCACTGAAAGCACTGTCAGCAGCTCATCTTTGGCACCATCGTTTCATGCTGCTGCAGGAGGAGTGTTTGTGTACAGGACACTGTGCAGTAGGGTCTGTCTTGGAAGAGCTCCCTGCCCTCTGTAGCAGCCTGTCCCTTCCAAAGAAAAGACCCCTTTTTTCTGCTCAGGCACTGCACACAACCAGGGTCGTGCAAGCAGGCAGGGTGTGTCAGCACTGAGCAAGTTTTAGAAGAAGCATAGCCACCAGAGCTGTTTGTAGTTTTCTGTGCTTATGGAGAAAACAACAGCAAGCCCTCCTGTCCGTAACAGCATGTGGAGCTGCATTTTGGTGTCAGGTGGAGTGCTCTCTATAAATAGTGTGTAAAGCGGCTGGTGATGAAAGGCTTCATGTGAAAGTGCACTCTTTGCCACTCAGCAGGATGCAGCAGCTGCTGCTGCCCCTCCTGCAGGCCATGCCTGTCCCGTGCCAGCCCTGCGGGGTGGTTGTGCTGCCCTGACCAATGCTTGGGATTTCCTAGGGGAGGGGAGAGATAGTATGGCTTCCCTGGAGCAGTGTGAAGATGTCCTGGTTTATGAGAAACCTTCTCTCTATTCCCCTGTATTCTGGGGCTGGCTGCGAGATTGTATCCTTGGATGGGATATAATGGATTATACCTTTCACCATGCCAGTGCAGGAGGGGGAAATGACAGCAGATCTGACCTCTGAAACTGAGAGGGTTGCCTTCAGTTAGTATGTTGTCCTTGAATATTCTGGAGGGTGAATCTCCCTGTGCAGACAGAGTGCCACACAGAGCGCTAGAAACACGAGGCTTTCTGTTTTGCCCAGTGGCATTTTAGGCATAGGAGATTAGGAGAGATAGCAATATCATCCTTCTTGTACCTTCATGTCATTTATTCCACTTGTTTTGCTTGACCTGTTTAAAAACTGTCTTGTCTAGTTTCATTCCATTGTCTACTTTGGATATGTTATTGCTTCAGGGTTTCGGACAGCTGGGTGAATGTTGGGTTTTGTCCTAAGATACACGCACCTTTGCATCCCTTTCCCTCCCCAGGAGTTCTTGCTAGTCTTTTACTTGCACCTTTCTAAACAGTTGGAGTGCAGGAGTACATCAGTTCCAACGAATGATAATTATAGCAGGGGCAGCTCATCATAGAAGTGGGACAAGAGAATCTTGATGTGGTGGAAGGCACTTTCTGGTTCCCTCTTCCCACTGTGCAGCAAACTCTCACAATTCAGCTGAAGACTAGCCTGCAGAACTGCGTGAATTCGCTGCAACCAGTTTAAGTCTGCCATCATTAACTTTCTTTTTTCTTTCTTTTTCCCCTCCCCTGTCTCTTGTCTTTTTCTAGAGCTTGCAATATTTGGATGTGTCCGTCCTGGGTGAGCTGGTTCCTCAGCTGTGTGAACTGATCAAAAGTGGAGTAGGCCTTGGCACAAAGGTATGTCTGTGATTTTAGTACTTCATTTGAAATGGAGAAGGGAACACTGCGCAGCGTCAACGTAAATACTGTTGACTTTTAAAGTGGTAGCTTGGACTCATTCATACTGGAGTCATTTTACACCTGAGTGTCAATCCATCTACGTCACTTGTGATATTCTGAATGTGTGCTGCTTTAACCTCCCTTGGGCTACGTGTCTGCTGTGCTCTGTGATGCCTGAGTGCAAAAGGCTGTCCTTGATATCTGTAAATCTTTCAGGACCATCTGTCCTGAGTGTGGGTAAAAAAAGTGTAACTTTTTCACTTCCTAATTCAATTGTTGTCATTCATTTGTCATGAGCTGTTCTTCTGCTTCTGTCCTTGGCTCCTGGCTTATCAAGGCAGAGGTTCCATGGGCCTAGATCATGTCAGATAAGTGCATATAGCACTGCAGCAAGTATTAGCAGTAATAACCAGGGACTAATATTGTTTAATCTTGCCTTTGTCTTCCCTTGCAATCTTCCAGGGAGGCTGTGCCAGTGTAATTGTGTCATTAACCACACAGTGTCCTCAGGACTTAACACCTTATTCAGGTAAGGTTTGTTTCTAGTGTCAGGTTTTAAAGGTGCTTTTCGTCACTGTTCTGTAGGTAGTATTTCCTCCTCATTAGCCCTTGATTTTATCACAAGAGTGATGATTGTATGTGTATTTTCCTCAGAGACCTGTTTGAAGTTGCCTTGTGCATATGAGACTGGCATGCTGGGGTTAGGTCCTGGGGATGTTAAGTACCTCACCAAATTGGAAGTAGAAGAGGAAGGAGTTGAAGGAATTCGCTAGTGCCCAACAGGAACAGACAGAAATATCTCTGGACTTTCGTGGACCAGGCTAACAATGCCTGTGTTGGTGCAGTGCTGTCAATAAGCACTTGTTCCTTCAACTTGAGCTATGGGAGGACCATAAACAGAGACTTTGCTTCATTGGGTCTTAGTCTTCTCTTTACAACTTATTGTGATTTGGTAGTAGAAAGGTCACCTTTCTGTTGGAAAATAGAAATAAAGCTGTAAGCATGATTAGCTGGGGTGCTCATGTACAGAAACGTTATCAGTCAAGGTGTGAAGGCTGAGGCTGGCAAAACACTAGCTTCTGCTGAGCCTTGCTGTGTTATGCTGTGCACTTGTTTAAGCATAAGGACCAGACAGACCTATAATGCCAGAAACATGCAGTGAAGAAAAATGTAAATTCAGACAATCTCGTGAAATGCAGGCTACATTAATTCTTGCTACAGCAATAAAACCGTGATACTTCTGATAAAGTGAAGTCTCTTCCAACAGGCAAACTTATGAGTGCTTTACTTAGTGGTCTGACTGATCGCAACAGCGTGGTACAGAAGTCTTTTGCCTTTGCTATGGGGCATCTAGTCCGGGTGAGTTGAGGTTTGAGATAATTTTGGGTTTTATTTTGCCTTTTTCTTGGTGGCTTTTTCTGAAGTGTTTGAGTGATTTGTGTCTTGCTCCTGTTACAGACTTCCCGGGACACTAGTACTGAGAAGCTGCTGCACAAACTGAGCAGTTGGTACATGGAGAAAGAAGGTATGTGGCTTTTGGGGTGTTCAGTTACAGAATACAGTGCAGAAAAAGTTCCTGGTGATAGCAAAAGCTGGTAAAGAGACATTTCTGTATTGTGATGCTGGGTTACACTGGCTGAATAATTCCCATGCGTCATTATACAATACTGTGCATTCCTCTGCTTCCCAAGAGGCAGACCAAGCCGTTAAAGGTTGCTTCCCAGTTGTGACATGTGATTATTTTGCTCCTTCAGAGCCAGTTTACAGAACAGGCTGTGCTTTAACTGTGCATGCAATGGGACGCTACAGTCCAGATGTAGTGAAGAACCATGCCAAACATGTGCTGCCATTGGCTTTTCTTGGCATGCATGAAGTTCCCAATGAAGAGAAAGGAGAGAAAGAGAATTCTACTCTGTGGACTGAAGTTTGGCAGGAAAATGTACCTGGTAAGTTGTGTTAAGAGTGGTAGAAGCTTTCTGGGAAGCATGGGGCAGGAAATATCATGCTTTCTGGAAATCTGTTTTGGAAATACCGAGTTCTCATCGTAAGAGATTTAGGAAGCTTGTTTCCATTTTCTTCCTTCCTAAAGATGTCCTGAATGAGTTTCAACAGATTAGCTTCTCCGTGGCTATTTAAAATAATTCCATAGATGTTGATCACTGAGAATACACAGACACAGTCAGGAAAAGTATTTTAAGATTGTGAGGCACTGAACGCCACTGTAACATGACCCTGATCGTGGTGCAGATAGCTGGACATCTTTGGAAATTTTAATGCCAGCCTTTAAGGGCTGCTGCACACTCTGAAGTTACAGGGGACTTTGGCCTGTAACCATGTCTGGGGTTGGAGATCTCTCTGGTGATGCCTGTGGTTTTAACTTCAATTAACAAATCTGTGCTATAGAAGGGCTATTTTGCTGTGGTTTCTGTCTGTAGGGGAAGATCTTGGATGCATGGTGAAATAGTTTTGCTGGCTCTTTCTCTGACCTGATTTCGGATCTGGTCCCTCAGTCACCAGATTACTTTTCTGCAGTTTGGGAAAGGAGCTGCAAAAAAGGTTTTCCAGTGACCTGTTCTTGCGGAAAAAAAAAAAAAAAAATTATATTCCTTAGAAACAGGCCAACAAAATGTCTACTGTCTGCCATATGGAAGCACTGACATGAGCTATTTGTCTAGGTATATGCTAAAGATTTTCTTTGGCAGCACTTAGAAAACAGAATCCATCTTCAATCAGCCTGGAAGGAATTTTTCACCCCTTTGCCTGATGTAGACCATGCTGATATATTTCCTGGGCAAAAAAAGAGATAAATCTTTAACTGCTTTTTTTTTTTTAAATTTAAATAAGATCAGTTTTTTGTTTGTTTTGTGGCAAAATGACAGTGTTCCTCTGTTTGACATGCAGGTACTCAGGGTGGCATCAGGCTGTATATGCAGGAGTTGATAACCATTACCCAGAAGGCTCTGCAGTCCCAGTCCTGGAAAATGAAAGCCCAGGGAGCAGCTGCCATGGCATCAATTGCCAAACAGACAGGCTCCCTTGTGCCACCACATCTGGGAATAGTGCTCTCTGCACTGCTGCAAGGCTTGCCAGGAAGAACCTGGACTGGGAAGGTAAAAAAGGAACTGGCACCTCATGGATCGCTGTGAGCACCAGCATGCAACCTGCGAGTGAGGAAATGCAACGTTCAGTGCTGCAGAGCAGGATGTGTAGGAACTCTGGCTTAGGGAGTCTGCCTTTTGCCCTGCATTTAGCAGATACCAAAATGACAGGGAAGATAAGTAGGTGAAGTTCAGATTGCTGTAGGAGTTGGACTACTTCCACTGCACCGTATTCTAGCCGTGAGGGGTACTGGCTTGTGCTCAGAGGCGCTGCAAGGCCCGTTTCCACTACCAGTTCAGTGCAGATGGAAAGCTAAGTCCTCTGCAGCCTTTACAGCAGCAGTAGCAGGAGCCAGACATTGCTTCTCTAGGCTAGTATCATAGGTGTATTTCCCCACTACGTCTTGCAGCAGAGTACAAAGTTTTCCCCTGTATGGCAGGACCGTGCCATTTGGCTGTGTAGCATTTCTCAGTGGTATCTGTTTTACTTGTTGCAGGAGGAGCTGTTAAAGGCCATTGCCAGTGTCGTCTCTGCATGCAGGTAAGTGTCTTGAAAGAGGTGGTACCCTGAGGATCTGGGATCTCAAAATGGAGGTTGTTGAGTATTGTTGCCTGTCTGGTGCTAAGGAGACTCGAGAAAGTTGTGATCTCCCATTAGCATGTGAGGAGTCTCTCTCTACTCTGTTTGTCAATGTGTGGTCCTACAGAGCTGGGAGGGACAAGTGATGCTTCAGAGGGGTCTCCAGAGGTAAATGTTTGATTTAGGGCAAGGAAGAGGATGTTGAGAGGCCAGAATTGCTAGGAAGAAAGAAGAGACTAAGGAAAACGATGGACACCTTAAAGGGGAAAGAGAGGAGGAGGCAGAAAGAGAGTGAGGGGGGTGAAGTGCATTCACCTCCCTCACTTTTCTTCCTTCATTGGAAGCATATGAGGAAAAACAGGAAAGAAAAATGGGGAGAACAGACAGGGTAACACTGAAGAAGAGCACCAGAGTGTAACTTCAATTGCAACTGTTAGTAGGCAACCCTGTGCCTGGACACAGGAATTGCCTCCTATCTCTGGGAAGAGTCGTGTTTGGGAAGGGATTAATGTGGGTCTGATTGTTTCTGTGTGCCTTGTGTTTCAGTGCAGAGCTGCAGCAATCAGTGCCTGGCCAGCCCACTGTCAATGATATTGTCCAGGCTGTCCTGAAAGAATGTCGGAAAGAGAACCTGAAGTATAAGATGGTGGCACTGCGCTGTGTGGCCGGGGTGCTCCAGGCAACAAAGGAAGACCGGTTCCAGGAGCTGGCAGATATTGTCTTTCCCATGATAAAGAAGGTGACAGTTCAGCTTCTTGAATTTTCCTTCTTTGAAAACAAAACACCCAAGTGGTGACAGTCCGGCTGATGCTGTTACGTACACACCAGGCTTCTGCCCACAAGGCTGCTGATGTGACGAACACCCCACACTCAGCCAAATCCTTGGTGGCACTGAGTACCAGACTGTGGGTGAGCCCTGGGGCAGGTTACATCTGTGCTGCCCAAATTCTGAATTAACTCAACTGTTCTGTAGGCGTAGTCCTTCCTGTGGTGTCCAGTGCTGCCCCAATACAGCATTAAAAGTTAATTCCTGGCTGTTCTGCAGGCAGCAAGAGACTCCTAGGAAGCTGTGTGGAGTGCTTGTGTTCAGTATTTGCAGTGCTTCACACCTCTGCAAGTTGGACTCGTGTAGCGCAGGGCAATGTTTGGGTGCAAGGCCATGGAGCCTGCTGTGCACTTCTGTAGGCTCCCAGTAGCGCCAGAGCTACCAGTGGCCACGGGGGCTTGTGCTCTGTCTATATGGAGGCACTGACTGGGTACAAGGACTGGTGTGCGCCCACTGCAAGGGAAGACTGAATTGCACTGAAGTGTGTGCTTAGCTGCACTCATCCCCTGTCCATCATACCTTCCCTCCATGGCCTCCACAGAACTCTCTTGAGAGCATGGGCATGGGTTTACCAAAGCATGACGAAGAGGACGAAGATATGAGGGAGAAAGAGATGCAGATGGAGTCCCTGATCTGCGCCTTTGAGACCCTAGGCAAAGCCTGGCCAAGGAGCCCGGAGACACAGCGTAAGTCAGCTGATGGTGTGCACAGCAAACTTTCTCCGCTCAAACTCTTCCCTCTTAAAATGAAAAGGTGGAGGAGGGAGGGACCTGGAGATCACGTGAAGAGTGAGGAGGCTTTTGAGGGAGGTGCAGGATCCTGCTGCCTGCAGCTTGCAAGATCTTCAGTGAGAAGGCTGCCCCAACAGCTTTCCACAGAATAGCCCATCCCTTGGTGAAATTCCTTTACTGTTGTCTTAAATACACTTCACCAAACTGTGTGGAGACATGCAGGATGCCTGAGGTGGCTTGCCTAATCAGAAGCAGCTTAGTTCTGCTGCACATTTACATTTGCATCAAAGCTGATACAAGGTGGAGGAACTGGCTATATATTAAAAAAAAAACAAAACAGGTTACCTTTATTAGCATGCCAGAATGTGTAATGGAGCTGTTTATCTTCCAGTGTTTGTTTATGAGAGTGTTGATGTGGTGAAGATTTTCAGAGCCACTTGTTACAGGATGTTGACTTGGTCATATGCAGCGACTAGCTTGATGTCACTGGGAGAGGAGCACAGGAAACACCTGGGAGACAGAGCAGGAAGTGTTTCCTTCTGTCTTTTCCTGTGGTAACGCTGTAACATCCTTATTTTTCTGTAGGTTGCTATCGCCAAGAGTTTTGCAAGTTAATGTGTGACCGTCTGAAGCTCAGCACATGGAAAGTGCAGCTTGGAGTGCTGCAAGCCATGAATGCCTACTTTCAAGGGTAATTCTGCTTTCTACAGTCCACTTCGATGATGTTTCTTTGTTGCTTGAAACCGTGAAGATGAAATTGAGGATGAACCTGGACTCTAGGGAGGAGGTTGAGCAGACTTCTGTCCCAATGACGCGGGGTGTCTGACAAGTGTTTTTGCATTTGACAGGCTAATGCTGTTTGATGAGGAGCACTCAGACCCTGTGGCTTTAACAGAAATACTATTGGAAACCTGTTCATCTATCACCCATTCTTTAGGTAAATAGACTTTTCCCAGTTTGTGACCGATGACGAATTGCTTGTTAACACATTCCTCCTCTGAGGGCTGGCTGGTAGAGGGAGTGCAGAATAAGGTGTCAGAGATGACATTTTGCCCGTCCTTGTACCTCACTGTGATAATTCTGATGTTGCAGTAGCTGTTCAAGACAGTACTATGCAGGGTGTTGTGCACAGGGAAGCAAATTACTCTGGTGCAAGAGAGCTTTGAAGGGGAAGGAAGAAGCAGGCAGCAGACTCACTGCAAGGAGCTGAAATCAGAAACGTAGTAATTTACTCCATGCAGAAGATGGGCCCCATCTAGCCAAGCTGTTATTGATTTAATGAAACACACATTTTTCTCCTCCACAGTTGGAGAGACACAAAATTTTCTCAGACAGCCAGTGCATGAAGCTCCAAGGCTTTGAGTTTGTGCTCTCCCTGGGTAGAGCGCCCATGGGGATATAAGTGCTACCTATGAAATTTTGACAGTCATGGGGCTGTTCTTTACTTTGGTAGTGTTCCCACTTGTCCTGTGTCTGTAACAGTGCCCCAAGTCTCCTCACACCTGCATGTGCCTCTTGTTTCTGGTATGCCTAAAGGCAGCACCTACTTTAGAGCTACCTACCAATCCAGAGACTCCTTTGGGGAAAGTTCCTTTTAACTGTCAGTCTTCCTGGAATGGGTCTTTAACAAGATTCTAGCTGAGGAGACCAAATAACTTTTTGTGAAAAGCTTGTGCTTGATGGCATAGGGTTTATGTGCCCTCACTGAGGGTACTTGTACAAATTGGAATGGTTTATAGCCATTACAACTCACCAAACAAACATATATTATGCAACAGAAGTTGTCTGTGATCACATTGCAGCTGTGCCAGCATTGTTCCCTTTCAGCATGTATAAGGAAGAGTAGCACTGCGATAATAGCAGAGGCAGTGCATAGGGTTTAGTTGACTTGTCAACCTCTAGTTGGTCACTTTCTGCCGTTGAAATGTGTCCAATTGTGGAGCACTGCAGACTACCAGAACAAATGAGCTCAGGGAGCTGTGCTAGCAAAAGTGGTCTAGAGACCATAGTGGTGGCTGCCCTTTGTACAGTTAGTGTGCCTGTGGTTCTCAATGTGGTTGTGGCTTTTTTCTTTGTTTTTTAAATCCTTTAGAAAACAAAAGCTACACGTCCATAAGAACAGAAGCTTTGTCTGTGATACAACTGCTGCTCACCAAACTGCAAGGTGAGAGTTTTTGCTTGCCACCTGGGAGAGCCACTGTTTGCTAAAGAAGATACCTGGCTCTGTGGCCTGGAACCCTGGAGAGATGTCATTACCTTCTGCCTGCAGCACTGGGTGATTTTGGGGCAGTTGGGACTTGGAGTTCTGTGCTTGGTGACTTGGGAAACTTGGAGAGGGCTTGAAGTAACTGTGGATGAAGTGAAGGTCTAAAGTACTGTTGGATACTCCTTGGGTGAGGACCATGTCTAGCAAGGAGGCTCTCAGGTAGACCACACAGGACTGAGTGTGGAGTTAGATTCTGCATTAGAGGGGAGAACTCCTGTTTGTGCAGAAGAGTAATTTGTACCCTTTCAGTGCCAGGTTTAGTTCCTCTTTGTTAATTTAGAATTTAAGCCTTGCATAATTTACTTCAGATAATGAGTCTACTTAGGTCACATGGTCATGCGTGTCTGCAGTTGTTCTTTAGCAAATGTCTCCTTTGGCTTTCTGTTATGCACTTTGTGTTTCCTTTATTCTAGCAAAAATCTTCTTACATTACATGAAGCAACTGTGAAGTGGGAAACATTTGGTTCCTCCGGCCCTTCTTGCACACGTTGCAGGCCTAGACAATCCAGCCTGGTCTAAACAGGCATGACTCCCTGTGCAGGAGGCAGCACATGCACCTGAGTGTCCAGCTGAATTTGTCTCCTCCTGGAAGAGCAGTACAGACTGCGAGTGAAATGTTGATGCAGTCGCTCTTACAGCCTGTCTGGGGATGGAGGTGGTCTTTTGGGGTTTTTGGCATTCTGGTATTCATGTCCACTGTCTGTCTGTCTTTATCTACACAGAAGCCCAACAGTGGGAAGGCCTAACACGGGAAAGCAGAGAGCACCTCATTCGTTCGTTGTCTACAATGGCATCAGATAGCAGACCCGAGCTACAAGAGAAGGCATTTATATTGAAGAAAACACTTGAAAATCTTGACTAAGTTGTAAAACACAAAGTGCCATGTAAAACAAAAACAAGAATGTGCAGTGGTCTGAAAACCAAGTGGGAAAACAAAGATTACTCTGTAGCATGCATCATTCCTGGCCAAAATAAAAAATGCCTTAAATTCTTTTCCCCGTTAATGTTATTTTTACTCTTTTAAGCTGATGGTTAGTAGTTATTTATCAGTTAATATCTCTAACAATCTGCCCTAGAATGTTTAGAAGTGTGCAACATAAAAAATGTTGAGGGCAAGATTTTTTTTTTCTTTAAATCGGCAAAAGAATGTTACTCAGATCCCCTTTGTCCTTCAAAGGAATTGTTGAAAAACCACCACCAGCACAGGAAGTGAAAAGCGTATTTGATTTTCACTTACGTTGTGTGTGGCGATCTGTTACCTAGTGTCTAAATAGTAAATCTTCAGGACTCTGCAGTAGAGCTAGTGTTTGTTGTCAGTAAAGAATGAAATGCCCATGAAGCCCGTGTTAAGCTCTTTTGGCTTCCCAGGGGCAGGGTTTCATCTGACACCCACCTCCACTTCTGCCTACTCCTCCCTTGCAGCCTGTTGTCTCTTGAGTTATGAAAGGCAGAGTACTGTTAACTTTGTTCCTTCTCTTACCTCAGCATGGATTGACCAAGACTATGCCTTCCCCAGCTAGCAACCTCGGCCTCCCAAACGTTAGATGAGAACTTTTTTCCTGAAAGGATGCACAAGAGAGCACTTTACTGAGCTGTGTGGGACAAAATTGGGCTAGTTGGTGCCCAGGTGGAACACTGCTCTTCTCAAAATTGTTTTGCATGGACACTCCTCAGCTGCAAGAAAAAAAAAATAGGAAAACAATCTTTTCTAGATATGTTTTTGAAGAGTGTTTGAAGTTTGCAATGACACATTTTTTTAATAGTGGTAATGTTTTATTCCCTTCCTGTTCGTTACCCTCTTCTTGCTTTGGAAACCTGTAATGATTTAGATTTGTCAATATTTGTAAGAAATTGAATCATCTGTTATTTCTCAGCAGCCCAAGTCATGCTGGTTTCTAGCAAATATGTTTTAATTTGCACTTAAGAAGAAAGACTATATCTGCATTGATGTGGAGTGAAATAGCTATATGATGATGTGGCCATGCTGCCTGTCTCTTTTTTTTTTTTTTTTTTTTTTTTTTTCCCCCCCTCCTCAGATAGAAGACGAGCCTGACCACTATAGCAACAGACTTTTAATAGTGTAAAGTTAGCAGTGCACCGTAATCTGACCAGTATGTGTACAGCTTTTTGGGGATAAATGCTTTGCTGATGGTGAAATAAAATCGTTACTATGGGCAATATCATGTCCATGGCTTTCAGCATAGGAAGGCTTGTTTCTTTTTGTACAGCCTGCAGCTCCTTTCAGAGGGGATCTGTTAGGGAGAGGGTTGCTCAGATAACGTCCTGTTTCCTCCATGCCCATTTATTCAGAATCAGGTATGCAGTACCTACTTTTCCCTCAGGTGCCATTTCCCAGTCAGTGTTTTCTGGTACTGTAGCAACCTCGTTGTCTGACACACTCTCCACGGTAAGGGAGGAATGAAATTTGTGCACACCGGGTAAGAAAATGTCAGTAAGAACGGGCAGAGCTGTCCCACTGTGGCTGTCGTGTAGCAGAAACCTCAGCAAGCGCTATTGCATTGTACACTAGAACTGGTCAGTGGGCAACTCCTTAGTGCTGGGAGCTGGTGCTACAATGTTTTGATTTACACCTTGTTGCAGGGAGCTGCTCTTTGTTTATGTGTAGTTTGAACTATTGAGCACAGTGTACATTTTAAATTTTTACTGGGCAAATCACTTGGCAGTATCTTCAAAAACTTGCTTACCATGACATGTAGTGTCATGAGTGCTTTTTTTTTTTTTAAGTAGATGAATATTACCCATGATGCTTTGCTGTAGCAGGTAATTGTCTGACTTGGGTTTTTTCCGTATTGGTGAGTGACAGTAACAGAAAAGCAAGAGCCTCCACATCTCTGGTAATCTGCGTGAGTTTTCACACTGGGGACTGGAGTATTCAGAGGCAATGCCTAATATGGTCAAAAATGGCCATAGGTAGAGTAACTGTAATAGCTGTGAATAGCAACCTGGATTTGTCTATTGGGGATTTACACTAGAGGGAAGAGCATATTCTAGGAACTCTACAAACAGCTGGATCAACAACCCCGGCTAAGAGTGTTAGGAAGGTTAGAGATGGTATAACACTTTCTGAATCACAAAGCAATATGTCTGAACCTGTTGTGTAATCACGAGAAAGAGCTCCTCTCTAAAGTACGTGCCTATACACAAAACCTACCTGTACAAAAGTTAATTCAGTCCGAGGTTTGATTTCTATCCCCCTCGCATTTGTAAACTTGACAGGATTTAAAAAAAATAAATAGATAGATGTGGCCTTCCTAGAGTTTTTCCTCTAAAAGGGATTGCACTATGTAAAACACACTGTACTTTGCCCAATGTGGGCATTTCTTGTGCTGCTGCAATGCTTTGTATACCTGGAGTGCAGTGTGTAGACTTGACTAGCACTCACCTTCTGACCTACAAGCTGTTGCTTAAATGGATGTATATTGAGGAAAGTTTTCTAATGCTGCAAGATCTCCATCCAATTCACTGCAATCTGTACTGTCAAAGTATGTGAATGGCCTGACTAAAAGAAAACCCTCCTGCTTACCAAAAAGGTAAAATTAAATAAAACCTGCATGACCTGTTCTTTGAAGTGACTGTTTTGTTTTTTTTCTCCTTCCACTGCAAATCTCTTACAGTACTCTTCTGTTCCAAATTCAAAGTGCACCTTTGTGTTCTGATCTGCACTGGCCTACCTGCCCCAGGCCTCTCACCTAAGATGCCGGCGGTGTCACCTAGTCAGACTGAAGGTGGCTGTGTTACAAATGACAGTGCCCAGTTAGGAGGAACTGTGTGAATTTGCTTTTTAAGCCAACAGCTCTTGCAACCAGGCAGGTTTACAGAATGTATATATACATTACCTATTTTTTAAAAATTCACATATATATATATATATAGTTTTATTCCACGTATGTATTATATGTAGATATATATGGAAGAGAACACTATGAGGTGGAAAATTTATTTAAGCAATATTCAAGGACTTAACACTTCCAAACTATTCTGGGTATGGACATCCCCTCAGCCAGCCTCAATTAAATTTACTTTTCTCAATGGCATTCTGAAAGGAAGGAAAAAGAAAGAAAAAAATACTCAGCTCAGCCGAGGAGAGCGAGTACAGACTTTATGGATGTTAGTGACCAACTGGCAAGATGAACATCCCCAAAACATGCAGCCTCACCACTGCTAGTGGTGGGGCCACATGCCTCTCCTGTGGTCCAGCGTGCTGTGGTGAGCAGAGACCGCCGCTGCAGCACTGTGATCAAAGCTAGGATTCTGCCCTCTGAGCGCTAGCATGTTATTTCTGGCCAGTAAACGCAGCAGGATAATGTTATTTGGGTTCATTGTAAGGGAAGACAAGGGAAACAGAGAAAAAGACACATCAGGATGTCTCAATTTGATGATGACCATGCGTGTCTAAAAATACTTAGATCTGCTCTTACCTCTGCCATTTAGAGTATAGAGTTAAATAATCAAACTTTGTGGAATAAAGCAAAAACTGTTTAGTTCTGCACAAGGAACTGTTCAATGAAAAACAGCGAGGAAGGAAAGGCACGTACACAATCAGTTTGTCTACCTTAAAATAGCTTTATTGATAAAGCATTTGCAGCAAATTGCAAAAATAACTTGTGAGTTAAAAATTGTTAATTAATTAATTAATTGTTAAAAATTGTCCTTACAATTATAGTAGCTTAAAATTTGGTATGCCCCTTTTCTCTGGTATTTGACAGCAGGAGATGAAGACTGCAACATGTTTTCTGAATGCTGTAAACACAGCAAGTCACATCAGATTTTCCTCATTCAAAGGATTCAGTTCCTCCTGCTGAGCTTTCAGAGCTACTGTTCATGTATGTGTACATGTAAATGCTTAGAAAGGGATGACAGGAATTACTTAGGGGACACCAAGAGGAAGAAACGGAGACAGTTTAGCTAACAGTCTAGGCAACAGTCTTCTGGACTAAGGAGAATTTCAGTTCTTAATAACGTGCAGATGTAAACTCAAAGCTAGGACATAAATGAGTATTTCAAGACTAAAAATACCTTATTAAAAAAAACGTTCAAAGAGTTTCTTCCCAGCCTAGCTATAGACTGAGAACGCCGAAGAAGCTGCTACTGCACGTAAAGTGTCAGTGAAGAAGTTTCATGCTTTTGCAGTTCCTCTTTTTACTTTCTGTGCTTTCTTAAAGGCAGGTGCATAATTTCCACTTTGTTCATATCTTGCAACAGTAGACACACCATCCACAAACTTGGTCTTGTACAGGACATTTGCATTCTTAAACATTCCGTCCTTCAAGGACACTACAATAAACTAAAACAAACCAGAAAGGTTAAAGTAAATGCTGCCATCCAACTAAAGAATTTAAACAACATTGGAAAAGGTTTCTAAAAAGATTTCTTTTACTTTATTTGGCCAGTATTGTTGTGGCAATTCTTAAAAAAATATTGTAAATATAACTGAAGCCCAAAAGAATGTGCTAGGGCAGGTTAACGTATACCCACAGACAAGACATTTTCCGCAGCTAATGACTTACAGCTGTGACCATATGCCAATGCTGAGCCTGGGTGACAGGCCACAGGACAGAATGCCCATTAATGGTGTGTCTATCCCTGGAAAAAATGTTGCCACAAATTTTGTAAGAATGCAGGTTCTTTTATAGTCTAAAGGTATTGCTCAAATTGCTTGACAATACTCGTAACAAACCTTCCCCCTCTCTCATAATTTGGAAAGCTCACATCCTACCACCAAATAAAGACAGGCACTGCCTTTCATTCAGCATAGTAAGTTTCTTGAGTTCTACAGATTTTATTCATGTATTAGTGCATGGCCTATTTCAACAGCATCAAAAATAAAATATTTTTTAAAGCCCAGTTTAAAAACTGGGAAAAAAAAATTCAGGATGTGGGTCATGCCTGAAATTCATCATACCACAGATACTCTTACCTTTTACCACCTGGTTTTTAGCCACTGTGGCAACAGCTTACATTGAAATGTAATGCTTATAAATTTCATAGTCACCATATCATCAGCATAACTTTCAGTTGAAACAACTTAGAAATACAACACACATCTCTGGAATAAAACACTTGAACTGCTGAGACTCCTCGGTGGCAGACCACCTCTGAAAATAATGAAGTACATAAATAGATGATCACAATAGTTTCAAGATCATACCTGAGAGTGTCTGAAATGAGTATGAAGCATCTGCCCAATGTTCTGAGTATGAGAGAGATCAAGGGCTGCATCCACTTCATCCAAGATGTAAATTGGAGCAGGTTTGAAGAGGAGCATGGCTAAGATCAAGGACAAGGCCACCAATGATCTAATACAGAGAACAAGAAAGGTATGTTTTACCCTCTTGTTTGAGAAGCTTTGGCTTACAAAAACAATTGTTTAGTAGTAACAAAATGCTCTCAAAAGCAGATCAATGCTGAGTTCTGAAGAGGCAGGATGACAGCTTCTGCCACAACTTCAGATTTCAAAATGTGAGACCTTCCAGAAATGGCAAATGTTACTTATTCTTTTATCAGAAGACCAGGTTAGCTGGGTGATGAGATTTTAAATCATGCCATTCTTTACCTATTTTCAATTCTGAGTTTTGCAGTGCTGCTTTTCAACATACTGTTCTTGAAGCATTCTGTCCTTCAGAAAGTTCTATATCTGCCTCCTCTTCCTAAATTCTGTTTCTACTTTTCAATTTGTTAGATTTTTCCTTAAAAGTTGCAAAGAAGCACACACCCTACACAGTAGATGTAATCAGTGGAGAAGAAAACTGTCACCATGACACTACTTTGACACTGGGGCAGAACTTGTCTATTTAGATTTTTGAGATTATAACTCATCAAAGGCTGGTGCATTTAATTCAACACTACCTCTGTACTACTTAAGAGTTAAATGCAGTTTTCTTACTACTCAATTCATTTTTTGTCACTTGTCCATGGAGAAAAATTTTGTTTGTGATCATATCCCAAGTAACGCATTGTTCTCAGTCAGACTCCTCTTGGAGCTGAACTGAATTAATAATGCTTTCAATATTAGGTCAGGCTGGAAGGTGACAGAGTCCCTGACTTGACCAAGGAAAATACTAATTTTTTGCTTTTCTGAACTACAATTAGCTAGACATGTCAATTACATACATATCTGCAATGGAAAACAAAAAAAACCCACAGAGTTCACCAACCTTTGTCCTCCACTAAGTTCTGTTAAGTTTTCCTTCCAGGTATTTCCTAAGGCAATTCTGAACTCCAGACCATCCAAGATGTTCTGGTTTTTAGAGGCTGCTAACATAGCCTTGGCTCCTGGTAGAAGTGTTGAGAAAATTGAACCAAAGTCTTCATTCACCTAGAAGTCAGGCCATAAGAGACGTATGTACATGCTTTGAATCAAGAGCACAAACAGCTGAAAATTTATCAGTAAGCTGCACTGTCTTGCCCAGTTTAACCCAATGACTTCTTATTTCTTGAAGAGTAGCACATAGAAGATGGTGAGAAAATATTAGTACATGGAATCTTTTCTTTTCTCTGTACTCAAAAGAGAAGCAACACCAAGGGATATATGGAGGACACCTCAGATTTATTAACTGGTAAATTGTTATTTCTCACAATTAAAGGCCTATTAAAAATATAAGCACCTTGTAAGAGGCACACACTGCCATCCTCCCTACTCCTTTTCTTCTCAGGATCACTTAAACCATCTCCAGGTATTGGATGGGACACATCTTTGTAAACGTAGATTAAAATTTCCTATGTCAAGGAATGTATCCAAGAATTTACTTATTCCACTATGCTTTTAAATACAATTTACTAATTTTTGCCAAACAAGATTTTGCAACGAAAAGGTATCATTTTGTCAGTGATATCTTTGTATGGGCAGTAATAATTAAAACTAATACTTAATTTGTGAGCAATTTAATCTTTGACATAATCTTCTCAAAAGCCAAAAAGTACAACTTTTCCTGTTAAAACAGAAAAGAATGTGCCAAGAGCTTTCCATGTAGAAAGGGAAAGGGAAATTTTTATACTTTTGTTACAGTTCATGATATGAGGGAACTACTAAGAAGGCAGAGTGCTTGGATAATAAGAACATACATCAGCTGTTGCTTAATTCCAGTATTACCTGTCCTGTCAGTGGCAGGAACAGTAGCCCAGGTCCATAGCCCCACAGTGGATGAGGCTACACAGAACAAGAATATTTTAACTCTGGTCAAATACTGACTTAAGCAAACAAACAAAAAAACAGACCATCACTGTTTTGTCCAACTTCCATGCGACAGACAATGATTTCAGCATGCCAGTGGCATAACCTTCCTTAAATTTTTGTGGGCACTTTACCAAATGGTAAAGTAGTTCTGCAGGATGAACTGTATCTTTAGAATTCTCAGAGAATTCATGTCTTATTCTCCAAAGTGAGATGTAACAGGAGAAATGAAGTGGCTGTTCTATAATTTAAATACTGCACAAGGGAGATTAGATCTGGAAAGAGAGAGCTTTTTTTTTCCCATGGAAATATGCAAAATAGCAATCTAAGATAAATCTGATCCTCTGCTAAAATGTGAAGATTAGACTTCTAGTATCATACCTTTTTCCAAGCAATATGTAAAGCTTCAGTTTTCTTCTGGTCAAGCTCTTCAATAACTGAGATAATTTTTGCCTTGTCATTCTCTACAATTCTTTTTTTCTTCATTAAGTCATTGTACTGGTGCAATAAGAAGAAAAGATTGATTTCAATTAACTTTGTACTCAAATACACTTTGTGCTAATCTTACAGTTCAACTGTTTATCTTTTTGTAACCATGAAATAGGCATTAACCACATGTTTGAAATCCAAAGCATTCATTTAGTTGTATGCAGCATTTAATTTTTAGGATATTATTTGCAAATCAAAACATTAGAATTTTCAACAATAAGCAAATGGGAAGATCAAAATTAGTCTGAAAGTTGCACTTCCTTTTCAAGTCATTAATGTTTCATTTGCCTTTTCATAAAAGAAAGAATGCTTCTGGAGTCTGACAGGAAGAATAGGCTGCTTCTAACTGTGAAAACAGTACTTGAAAAGTTGAAGTGTCAGTCAGTGGACAGTTTTGAGACAATCCTGGAATGACCTCAAGGTACAGGTGAATGGGAGACAACCCTGGAACACCTTCAGGCCATCATACTTGAAGATGAATAGTTCTTTGATCTGCAACCTTTGATAAAGTATGTAATTCTTAGATACTGTAACGGATACCACAAAGCTTGCCGAATGCTGCTGCTGCCAACTTAGGATGGACTGGGGTAGGGAGGAATGAAATGATTCTTTTTACAGTCCACAGTCAAGATTATGCATAACTTAGAAAACTAGTGCACAAGTGAATAGTTCAATAACATAAGATTAGCATAAAAGACCTAACAATGCTGACTCATGAAGATTTAGTTTAATTTTTGGTGTATTCAGAAATAGAGCACATGAAAATATGAAGCTACATTATACATAACACCATATACCCAGCCTGCCCAATCTTCAAAGGTTAAAGCACAGAATGTTTACCCTCTCCTCTGTCTCGGAAAGCATGTTCATAGCTCTCATGTTCACGTTCCTCCCCAACTTCTCTTTATTCTCCTGCAATCTCTGCAGCTTCTGAATTGCTTCTTTAGGATTGTTATTTTTGAAGTCATAGGCTGTGTTTGGCTGACCAAAAAGTGGTTTCTCTGAAGCTATCCACTCATACTCTTTCAGCATTTTGGTCACCTATAAACAAGATACGTTGAGACTTTTTTTCCTTCTCAAATGTGAATGAAAAATAATTAGAAAAAAAAATCAACATCCTGAAATTGCTCTACAACATTAATTCTTCTATCCAAATGCAGCACAGGTGTTTCATATGATTTCCAAGACTGTAGATGAACCAAGATTTTAAGGGAGCTTTCACATATACGCATCACATTTACTTGGAACACATTTTTCTATATCTGGACTAAGCCATTGTCACTAAATCTCAGGGTTAGCTTCTTTACCTAACTTGTCCCTACAGTCAGCTTCTCATTGCTCACCTTCTCACTGTCATCTACTCTCTCTTAGTCCATACTGATAAGCTCTGTTACAATTCACAGTTTCCACCCTCTCCTCCTGGGATTAAACTTTTAAAATCAAGAGCAGCAAATATGACAGTGCTTATTAAGAAAAAACATTATTTCTTTTGTTTGTTGCAAGGGAAATGACCACTTTTGGTCACAGGATGAAAGGAAATGCACAGTTCTGAAATACCTTGGCAGCAGCATCGGCAGCCTCTTGTTGATGTTTGCTGATGTTGTGTTCTAATGCTTTCAACTTAAGCTGTAATTGATTATTTTGTTCTCTGTATTTTTCAATCTCTTCAGATTTGGCTTTAATTGCTTTATTTTGTAACATAATTACTTCCTTTTGCTTGGTCAGCTCCTTCTGTGATTTCTCTACAGATTCCTGAAAAGCAAATCAAACAGCCACTTATTAGCTTCTTTTAAAGGCTAGGCAGTTGTTAGAAGAGAAGGACATAGCAACAAGAAAAATTCATCTGTGGTACCAAAGCCAGAAATAAGTAACTAAGTTAAACATAATTGAGTGCTGGCAAGAAAATCCAAATAGCAAAATACACATTTCAATTTGAGCTTTAGGGGATCGTATCTTCAGCAACATCAACACAGACAATGAAACACAGTATTCGCTCTTACCTTTGTCTTGGACACCTCAGCTGCCATAGCATCAACTTGCTCCTGGTAGGATTTAATTGCTTTATCTGCAGCTGCTATCTGTTGTTTATAGGAGGCCTCTTCTTTTTTTAGTTCTTCAAGTTCTAGAACTGAAGCTTCAACTTCCTAGAGAGATGTTTTCAAGTTTATTACAGTTATGCTTAAATGGAAAGAATTAAGATTCAGTTTGACATAGCAAATGCTGTAGGAGATTAACAGTACCTGTTCTTCAGCAAGGGGGCGATCTCATAACAAAGAAGCATCAGCAATTTCTATGTCAGTGAGTAGAGTAATACAGGAAGTTCCAAAATTGACAGTAAGAAAACTTCAGGACAATCAGACTTCATGATTACAGCAACCACTTTTGACATTGAGAAAATTGCCAACAGAGGTTAAGTTTACCTGCTGCTTTTCTTTCATTTTTTTGCTTGAAGCATCTGCTTTTTTCTTGGCACTATCTAGTTTCTGCTGGGCATTTTTTAGTTGTTTTTCACATTCTGCTTTTGCATTTTTCATTTTATTCTCTAATACCTTGTATTTATCTTCTGCTTTCTTTTGGCTCTCTTCAGTTTTCTTTAATGTCTCTTCACACTCCACTGAATCAAGAAGCACAATACTGAGATTGGGCATTGTTCTTATCTTTCAATTTACATCCTGAACTCCAACTGAAAGAAATTCACCTTTGCCTCTAACAGAAAAAAGTGTTTGTATGTTTGCTAGTTACTGAAGTCAGTTATTTCAATGATTACTCCAGGACAGTGCGCTGTACCTAATAAGATATCACCTCATCCCTAGAATACTATGTCTACATATGTACCACTTGTGTCCATCTTCTTTCTTTAGATGTTTTACTTATTGCTGCATTTGCTTCCTTTTACATTTTTCCTTAGCTATATGAACAGTACTTCTTTCCAGTGCTTTTTGTTAAGCAAACTATTTATAGTGCTAACCTTAAATATCTACAGAAACAGATGGCTTGGAAAAAACAAAGATTACCCAAATACAGGATTAAATCAATTTTAATAGTTACCTGCAAAGCCATTTTTCCTTTCGTTATAGAGTATATAAAACACTTAATAAGAATATAACCTTTACTATAAGATAATGACCAACCTTATATGAATCACCTCTATACAAGTCTATTCTGATTCTCTATTTGTTATGTATACCAAAATTCAAAGCTAAAAATATAGTTTTCTTAAATGAAGATTCTGCTACTCAAACAGACAAATATCCATTTCATTCTCAGCAACTACTTTTCAGCTAAAAGATTAAGAACACATTTGTCACCAATCGTTTTCTTCAGGGCAAGCAGCTCTTCCTCTTGTTTGTGATAAGCACTTTGATGAAGCTTTGTTTTCAAGAGCTCTGCTTCCTCAGACTTCATCTCCCACTGCTGCTTCAGTTGCTGGTACCTTTGAAGACAGTAACGATATACACTGCTATAATGAAGGGTACCCAGCACTTCAGTTTCAAAGTTGAAATAAGTAGATAAATAAACACTTATATTCCCATTCTAATGTGAGATACAATTACAACTATAGGACAAGCTCAAATGTATGGAAGTCTGACATAATTTCTTTAATTGTAATTGTGAAGTTTGTAGGTATGAAACTTACTACATATATAACTCCATAAGGTATATTGAGAACTAACAAATGCAACACACAGAACTTGGCAACAATTCAGAGCTCATATTTTTCCAACCAGCAGCATGACAGGTGCTAGGCTGAAGCATTAAAGAAAAATTATCTAAAAGTAGAAGTCATTTTTTCCTTTTGGCCATATTTCTGAAAGTCTATTACAATTCAAAACAATTTGAAAAACAAATCCAGCTGCTAGATAGCATTTTACACAACACTACCTCCTTATGAGAGTCCTATAGAACTGACTAAACATATTGTTGCATTCCATCTTTTAAAAGATCTTCAGTAACTGAGTAGCTGAATATCAAATATACTTGCAATTACTTAATTTAAATCTGTACAGCACTATCACTCTGCTGTTCCTCTTTAGTATCTTCATATTTTTTGGGAGGAAAATAAGAGCTATCACAAACAAAGATCTCTATCGATGTTACAAAATATGACTGGAACAGACCCATTCTTCAGTGGACTTCATTAAACTTTGGAAAACTTCAAGTGATTTCAAGTAGACATAATTGCATGCCTTTTTTTTTCCTGTATTACCCAAAACAAAATTTTCTTGCATGTGTTACCTAAAAACTAAATTTGCTTCTTGATTGCTGTACTTCCAAATTAAATTAGGGAGAGAGGGAGGAAGGGAATAATTTTCTGCATATTACACTCTCAACAGCCCCTATGCCCTCCAAAAAAAACTTCTTTATATTGCATTTACTCAGCATGTAAGAGAAATTATAGACATTTTATAGGGCAAACCTTACTTTTCAGCAACATTCTTCAAGCTTGCCAGCTCATTATTTACAGTCTCAAGTTCATATTCCTTTGTGTTCAGTTCTACTCCAATATCTCTAATTTCTTTAAGTTTAGACAATATAGGTGCAACTTGTGAGGACGCACCTGTTCAGTGAAAAAAAAACAAAGTCAATCTAATGGAGTTAGACTAGAGGATTCACCACTGGCAAATAGCAAATTCTAAATGTTAATAATGATGTAGGTTGATGATTTGTTTTAGTCACAAAACAGAAAGGCAGCTAGGCTAAAGTTACAGTAGTTCTCAGTGGAGAACTACCTCTTCTGTTATAGAATTTAATTCTGCAGACTTTGAATATTACACAGGCATTTCTTGTGAAATCAACTAACTTCTTGTAATTTATGAAATGACTTCAAATTAATTATGAATTACTTCAAAAAGTGCTAGAATTCAAAGCATTTCTCCTTTCAAGAAGATTATATGGACAAATAAGATTTAAGCATTTAAAATCTAAATTACTTTATGCAAATTGTTTGCCATTAGTTTTTTCTTAGTCTAATAAATCTTATTTTAGCTCAAGACTGATAAATCTTTGCTCAAACAGATCATATTATCTCCAGTGTGAGTCTAAACAGAACAGGTACTGAACACTTTTACAAAAAACCTGCAGAGCAGTAAACAAACCAACAGAAACACAGCATTATTATATGAATAAAACCAGCAATTGCCTCCATGCAGAGTGCCCTGGGGGTCAAATGTGTCTCCATCAAGTGTAACGCTTCTTATCATTATCCTTCTGTCAAAGGTCACTTTCTTAGCATTATCCAAGCTATTAGTGACCAATGTTGTTCCAAAGACATATTCCATTGCCTTCTGCAGTTCAGGTTCATATCCAATGAGAAAGAGGGCTAAATGCAAGTTGCCATGACCAGTCTAGAAATCAAATGAGAAGCAATTAGTACGCCTTAAGTTATAAGCATTGTCAAATTTAATTTGTCGTCTCTTGATAAAAACAGTTTTTAAAAACATCATAACATTTAAAAACTATTTCAGTTAAGGGTGGAATAATTAATATCCATTTAAACATCATACAGCTGAAAGGATACAAAGGAAAAAAATAAAATCAAGACACTCTCAAATCCTATAGAATTCTTATCAGTATAACCATTAGGAAGCCCATGTTTCTAGCAAAGAAACAAAATGAAAGAGGTGCACAGGCAAAATAGTGTAAATAGCATAATTATTTACATACCAAGTTCTGGGCCAACTTGATTGTGTCTGGTTGAACACACTTCGTTGAAATTTTGTTGAGTGGAATGATGGTGTATCGACACCTTAGCTGACCCTTTTCTAAAAGCACTTTGCCAGTAACCTCAAATGAGAAGAGTTACAAAGCATACCTGAATACACAACTGATTTTGTAAAGTAAGACAATAGGGCATTGCAAGAGGAATATATTGTTGCCAGTAAGTATGCATGATCCTCTTGACCTAATTTAAACATGTACATGGTTCCGAACCACAAGCATTCAGTAACAATCATGCTCGATAACCCTGAATCACAAGATCTCCTGCCAACATTTAGAGTTCTGTAGTAAAGTAATAAACATACCTCTGTGTCCACAACAATGTTATAGAGTTTCCCTCCAGCCACCGCTTCTAGGGCTTTTGCTTTGGATAGATCTTTCACAGTGATAAGAGACACAACAGGGCCTTTGACACGTTTTGGATTCCAATTTTTTTCTGGATCTCTTAAAATAAATTTGAATTATGATAGTCATGCTTGTTTCTCTCCCACACATCTTAAAAAAATATATATATTTAAAAACTAATACTGTTTATTATATTGGTATAAAATGTTCTAAATCCTCTCAGGAAAAAACACACAGAAAATAGTTAAATTAAATACTTCATGGCAAGAGGCTTCCCAATAAAGAGTGTTACAAAGTCATTAGAAGAATGTCCTTCCTGATTTTGGTAGTTTGTTCACACAATTTTCAATTGATTTTTACTATGGATCCTATTATATCCTATCCTATATTTGATTGGTGAAGACAGATACAATGTTGACCTCCACAAAGCAAGTCTATTCACAGTCCTCAGACAGGACTCTGAAAACTAATTACTACATATTTTTGCAGTCTAGACCTTTGGATTCTATGGCTTTAACTACTGAAGCTGAGTTATGGCTTGCAAACACCATCACACAAAGCTTTAAAATTCCAATGATTTTGATATGGTAGCCATTTAAGAATGACTGTATCACTTTCCCTGCTGCCCATTAATTCAGTTAATATTTCTTGACTTCCTCCGCCTCCCCCTCTTCACTTGCATCACAGGTAGCACAGTCATTATTCACTGACACTAAAAAGAAAGCAACAGCTAAGCAATTGATGTAATTATCCTCCAAGTCCCACAAGCCATGCACAAAATGCCCAAAAAGCACTTTCAAATGTCTTTTAGGATCACCTAAGATCTTACCTGTATTGAAACTGTAGATAAGGAAACCTCACCATTAAGCGTTCGTATACTTCTCTCAGTTGGCTGATGTCATGGGTCAATGCCTTCTTTTTTGCTGAAAGGGTTTCTTCTTTCTCTTCTTAAAGAGTTGAACACAAACAGCAGACAAACATCCAGAGCACAGAAATCTATTAGCTTAAAAATTGGTATGCTACATTATTTATATACATACATGCAGAGAATACTTAATTGAAAGACTTTCTAAAATTCTTTGGAAACTTCCAGCTTAGAAAAATTAACACCATCACAATACTAAACATGCAAAGAAAGGGTTTAGTCTAATGTGCTTCTCTGAACATCATTCTGGAATATCAGCTTACAGTTTTGAGTAGCTTCTGCAACAAATGTTAGCTGGAATTAAAAATGCATTTTAAGAGGTGTTTTAGGTAGGGAAAACCAGGAAGGAATATAGAGGTTGTTCGCTTTTTCCATTTAAATTTTAGATGCAACTTAAATTTTCCATTAAACATTACAAGATTTGGCCTTAAGCTTATAAAATCAAATTATTTTGAACTATTTTCTGGGGAAGACAAGAGCTTGCAGAGCTTTGAACAGAGAAATGTCTTTGTGCATGAAAGCAGCATATTTGGTTTTTCAGTTCCTTCTTGTATTGTGTCTGGCTGGGATGAAGTTAACTTTCCCCATAGCAGCCCTTGCAGTGCTGTGCTTTGTATTTCTAGTTCTTCTAGATGTTGATAACACACCAGTGTTTCGGCTACTGCTGAGCAGTGCTCACACAGCATCAAGGATGTCCCCCCAAAGGCCAGTAGGCTGGGGGTGGGCAAGAGGCTGAGAGGGGACATATCCAAGACAGCTGGCCCAAGCAATATTCCATACCATATGAAGACTGTCTCAGCAATAAAAGCTAAGAGAAAGGAGGAGAGGAGGAGGCATTCATTACTGAGGCACTTGTTTTCCAAACCAGCCACTACACATACCAAGGCCCTACATCCTAGGAAGTAGCTGGACATCACCTGCTGATGGAAAGCTGAGAGTAAATATTTTTGTTTTCCTTTGCTTCTGTGTCTGATAGAGCCAGTTCCACCTGGCTCCAAGACCCACCACTGGCCAAGGCAGAGCACATCAGCAATGGTGATAGCACCTCTGTGATAACATATTATACGATAAGATATTATAAAAGAGGTAAAAACTGCTGCACAACAGCATTTGGGAGAGAGGAATGAGAATGTGTGAGAGAAACAACTATGCAGTGTGCTGGGTTAAGCTGAGACAGAGTTAACCTTCATAATAGCTAGCAAGAGGCTGTGTTTTGGATTTGTGCTCAGAAGAAAGCTGATAAAAAGTGATGCTTACGTGGCTGCTGAGGTCTTTCAGCTTCTCTGGCTGTCTGCAAACAGGAGAAGCTGGGAGGGAGCACAGCCCCAGTTACTAGTCCAGGATTTGATCTTAGGTTTGGGACTGAGACCCAAAGTGGCCAATAATCTATTCCATAACATACACGTCATGCCCAGTACATAGGGCGAGGACCCTCCAGAAGATCAGCCCTTTTGTTCCAGGTTGCCTTTTTGCTCCGGATGACCTCACTCCAGGTGGTCACTCCCCCAAGGCCTTCTCTTTACCCCCCGTCACCTCTCGATCTGGGACGCTCAGACTGTTAT